AAAATAGGAGTTGCGCATTAAAATATCCAATCAAATTTTTACAAATGATAAATGCGCAAATTTTGTCTAGTCTAAAATCAAAAAAAATGTTGAAGAAATCGGAAATTAGTGATTACTTTTTTTTTATTGATCTTCAAATTTCACATAATTTTGCAAACCACAATAAATTAAATAAACTAAACAACTAATCGATTAATCAATTAATCAACTAATCGATTAATCGATTAGTTAGGCCGTTTGAATTTAAAAATTCGTTTAACGTCACCCCCCCCCCCCCTACCACTTGAGCTCCCCTCGACATTAAACAAGCCAATAGAAAACGAGTATAAAAAATAAATATATATATCACAAAAAAAAAAAAAAACGGTATAAATGAACCCAAATCAGGTACATTTTGAACCTAATTTAGGTCTGTTTAATTTTAGTGTTTGTTTACCCTCCCCTCCCCCCTCAAGCAAATATGAAAAAAGTTACGTTAAACGAATCTTTAAATTCAAACGGCCTTAGCAATAATCGATTTGTAATCGGTTTTTTAAAAAATTTTCAACCAACTAATCGATTACAATATTTGTTTCGATTCGTATCACTAACTTGGATGATTACCCGATACTAGAATTTAATTCATCCACAGTTCCTAATGAATGAAAAATATCATCATATTTTGGTCTCCGTTCACCGGTATAAAGACTTGATGTGCCTGTAAAAAAAGAATATATATATATATTTATAGATAGATAGATTACTATTGTTCATGTTTCGAGCGTGGAATTTTAAAAGAGAACAACCTTTATCTCCGGTCCTGGTATAAACGGGCGACTTTTTGGGCTCGGGACTATAATAAAAGCCAGAATTAGTGGAAATGCTTACGAACCAATACATATACGACAGGAAATCAAAAAAGACGCGATATTCAGACCTTTGGCAACCAACCATTCTTCGTTGACTTGCAAACAAGAAAAAAGCTTTGCCGCTCGTACAAAAATTCGAAGATGTAGACGAGACAAGCAAAGCCTGGTTGACTGTCAAATGAAGCCGACAAAAATATCGTAATAATTTATAAGACATACTTTGACATTTATTCTCTGTAAAAACTGTAAAAAGCGTGAAAGTAGATACATCATTATCATCATTATCTTTTATGATTGGCTGATAATTTCTAGATCAGGTGTAACGTAGCACAATCTAGCAAATTCAAACCAAAAAGTTTAATTGACTTGATTTAGTTTAGTCAAAAGATTCTTTAACTATATAGCAAAATTTTATATATACTGTAGTAATTTAATTGATTCGATTTTGTATAATGATAATGTTGTAAGTGGGAACGGCATTTAAGTGCGGTTGGGATTTCTTATTATTTTAGGGTAGAATTATTTTGTAGAAACTTACAATCTATCTTATTATTCTATCTTATCGTTTTTAAAATCCCAAATCCACTATTCCCAATCACAACCATACACAACATACGTATATTATGTCGTAGGTAGGAACAGAATTTAAGTTATTCGGAATTTTTAAGGTTAGGGTTGGGATTTTTAGTATAATTATTCTGTTCTAATCTAAGTGGGTTCCGAACTCTATTATGGTTCCATTTCCACTTATAACAGAACTACTCTGATTAATTAAACTTTAAAATTCGCAATTAATTTCATCACACTGAGGGAGTTGCTTGGAAACAGCCCAAGTAAATAAACCTAAGACCGTATAACAATAAATAATACGGATGGATGTGTACAGATAAGAACAGATAAGAGTTTATCAAAAGCAATAAAAGCAATAACAAGATGTAATGGTCAATAAAATATACCATT